AATTGAATGGAATATTTATAAAAAGTAGACGAGAGTTTTTGTAATTTCTTAAAAATGCGTTAATTTATAGATCGTAGAATGTAGAGTATACATGAAAAAAGCAGGTAGTATATTTTTTAATGAAATAAAACAAAGTTATAGGAATTTCTCTTATAACGGGTGCATCTCAAAAATGGCTCACCCACTTGACTTTTTTACTTTTTCATATGAAAAAACACATTTGGTGTATGACATAAATTAGGATTGATTGACGTATTCAATTGTTTTTGGTCACTTCCTGTTTTACTGAAAATGACTACAACTTTTGATTTTTAAATGACACCCTCTGTATTTTTTTACTTTATTCGATAGAAAATTACACTCTGAATATGATATGTTAACTTTTGATATTTGTATGGTGATTGATTAAAGAAATATGGTCCATCCAGAAAAATAAAGATGTGATATTCAAAGGGTGTAATTTAAAAGTTTATCCAGTTATGTTTATCATTATTTTCGAGATGAATAAATTGAATTTTAGAACTAATTAGAAAATTTGATACGCAAATTTCTGTAATTCTTTTCTCAACAATCCCTTAGTACTTAATAGGGAATCTGTTCAATTGAAACCGGAGCTTCTTGGTATATGTATAATAAAAATATAGGGGTCCAAGGTTTAGCTTAGTAGTCTTTTGCTACACACGTGCGTTTTATATACGTACCCTTTCAACGATAAAATAATGGAACTACGTTTCAAAATTGTCCATTGTTTTGTTTCTTGTCAAAAATGGGCCTATGTTGCACATGGAAAAAATCTTATTTACATCTATAGGTAACAAGAGAGATTTAATATTATCCTTGTTTATACAAGGATATTATAAATACAGGGTCGCTTTTATGTATGGAAACGGTCGAATGTTAGGTAAAATATAGGAGGTAACGCAAAAAGTTAAATATAAAAGTTATAGGGTTTATAAATATCTATTAGGAGGTAATAAATTTAAGTATAGAGTATCGGTCATAAAGTCGTTGCACATCAAAGTTTCATTTTTTAAACCCCCTGTATATTATTGCATATTTCAATTCTTCCTCCAATTCTAAACAGTAATCGAAATACATACAACGTACCTCAAAGCAACCGTTTCCGAGTTATTGACTTTGGAAAATATCACTTAAACAATTCGATTTAATTAATTTCGATGTGTTTGGTTTGATTTAATGATGCCATTCTGCCGAAATTGTGATACTGTTGTAGTCGATCATAAAGTTGTGTCACATCAAACTTTTTTTTAATGAAACCCCCTGTATATTATTGCATATTTCAATTCTTACTTCAATTTTAAACAATAATCGTAATACACGATGTACATAAATTATTGAAGAATTGAAATGTTAAACGAAAATTTTGTAATTTTCAGACTTGCTATACTCTCATTTTATACATCTACTAGTTGAAGCCTGATGCATCCGCCACGAGATCGCGACATCAGGAAAAAAATACTTTTAATTTTTTTTTATTAAATGAAAAACAAAAAATCCGGCGACTACAGGTTTTAGAAGAGCCAATTAGCTACATATCTTTTAGTAAAAAAAGCAACTTTCTAGAGCAAGTCGTTACTTCAGTAGAGATGACACAGATAAACATTAGCATTTTATATTATGTAGATAAATGCTAACTTGAGAACTAATGTCTCACACTTTCGGCAAAATGGCATCGTTAAATGAAACTGAACATATCGAAATTAATTAAACCAAATTGTTTAAGTGATATTTTCAAAAGTCAATAACTCGGAAATGGTTGGTATGAGGTACATTGTTTATATTTCGATTTTTGGTTAGAATTGAAGGAAGAACCGAAATATGCAATAATATACAGAGGGTTCCATTTAAAAAGTGAAACTTTGATGTACCACAACTTTATGACGGATCCTGTATACTTCAATTTATTACCCCCTAATAGATATTTATAAACCCTATAACTTTTATATTTAACTTTTTGCGGTACCTCCTATATTTTACCTAATAATCGACCGTTTCTATACATAAAAGCGATATACCCTGTATAATATGATCAATCGTCAATACCGGTGATGTTAAGCCAGCAAACACTCCTTTGTTAAACATATTTTATATAAATATAAAAATAAATACAAAAGCTAAACGACAGTATAAATGCTAATATGAAGACTAATTACCTAGAGAATTGGTTAAAAAATCCACTTCAACGTCTTCAACGTCAACGGTCACAAATAGGAAGATATGAGAATGCATCTCTCATCAAATACAGCATGATGATTTGAGAATTTGTCGAAATCTTTTTTCCATGCGCAGCTGACAGTGGACATAGTAGAGTTTGCGTCTGTTACGGCCGTATTCATAGTCGATCGCCAGCCGCCCGCTCAGGGTTGCCACAAGAAAATTTTTGATTGTGCAGAACTTGACCATAAAAATGTGTAGCATTGTGTAGCAATCCATGAGCAATAATTGTAAACTATCCAATAAGACCAAGAATAAGACGTAAAATCGCCAAATTTTAAAGCATAATCACGAGTCTCGATAAGAGTCTCACTTCCACTCGTTTGTATACGTCAATATATTCATTTTCCATTTCATTTCCTCTCATGCCAGCTAATATTGCAATGTCGTCAAAATTGATGTCGCGAAACTAACGATTTTATGGGAAAATTAGACCGGTTAAAAAGTCTGTTTAAAAACTGTAAACATTTCAAGACTGTTTAATCGGCCAAATTTGTCCATAGAAACTGCAGCCCTTGCTGATATGGGAGGAAAAGTGAAATAGTAATTGAATATTATTCACGTATGCCAACGAGTGGACCGAACTACATTGAAATTTAGCCAAAGTACGTGTTATGTATTATTTAAGGAATTAAGCAATCCTGTCTATTTACCGTTTTTGACTCGACCAATATAAGATGACCGAAAATGATATTTGTCAGTTCAAAATTTAAAGTTCACTTGCGGCCTCTTTTAGTGTAACTTAGATAACTTAAAAGCAAAAAAAACAGCTTTTGTCAGCTGATTTACTGTTCTGGTATTATTTTTTATAATAAATATGTAAAATCTCAAAATGTGTAGCACAGGACATTGTGGTGTAGCTGTGCAGTCATGGAAGCAAATGTGTAGCAAAATACACAATTGTGTAGCTTGTGGCAAACATGCGCCCGCTGGCGGAAGCTTTCCCGAAATTCTTCGTTCTTATTTCAGAGTCGAGCGCTCTCCGAGTAACGCGTGCGCACATCCGTCATATAGAGTAATCGCTCTCTCGCCGGCGGGCGGTTGGATAAGCATTTTTTTTTCCGTTTCATTTTCATAGTCGATCTCCAGGCGAAGAACACTAGCGCAGTTTAAACCCCATCCGGTGATTTTCGGCCGGCGACTGGAGCATGTCCTTACCATCTCCGGACGGCCCGCCAGTTTAGTCTGGTTTATTTTTCTAATTGAAAGAAGCACCAAACAAACTGAATTAATTATGGATATTTATAATATTGTGACGATTAAATGTACAATCAAATGCAGAAATCGACGAGAACGATGACATACGTATTTTTGAGGCCATTATTCATTACATTTGAGGCATATGAATTCCGTCCGTCTATTTGACCATTTAAATGTTTTATCGTTTTGTTTTTGTTATGTTTATAATTTTTTATTTTTCCTATTGTTTTTTTGTTTATTACATTAATTCTCTTTGTAATTTACACAATCTGATGGAAAAAATATACCAAATTCACAAAACAAAAATAGAGTCAATTTAAAAATATAAATTACTTCTACTCTGGTCATATTTTCCCTTAAAATAATTTTCAAATCCTTAACACAGCACCAATAGGTTAAGGTTAAGGTCTATAAACCTTTATAAACGTAATAAAAACGAATCCATAAAACTTTCAAATAACCGAATAGACCTATGGAATTCCCTATTATGTAAATTATTAACTTAATATCCTTTTTATTATGACCCAAAAATATACCTAGCCAAAAAAATATGTATATAAAAAATTGTAAATCTTTTTACTATAAGTGAAGGATTACGAAGATATTATTCATTACTTTAAAATATTTAAATTACCCAATATCAATAAAATATTTAAATTATTAATATTTAAATATTTAGAGAATGTTAAAGTTCGTATAACCGATTTTGTGTAGAAAAAGGAAGAAAACATGTTCCCTGTTGTTAAAACCCTCCACCCGAAGTGAAATTTTGTCGGCGAAGCGCCGTCATTTTCGCCAGCCAGCTGTGCGCTGGCGGCCGACTATGAAGAGCTTTTTTTCTCTCCCGATATCGAAGCGCTCGCCGGAGAAATCTTCGGCGAGCGCTTCTTTTCGGCGGGCGGCTGGCGCTCGACTATGAATACGGCCGTTAAAGTCCTATAGCACGCTCGTACAATCCCGTATTTTTTTTTTCATATTTGAATAATGTGTTTTAATATTTTAAGTTAAAGGCTATATTGGAAAAATAAAAGCTGCATCTTCATCATAATTTTCTTAATTGTATTTAATGAGAATATAAACAGAGTATATAGAGAATAATGGTACAAAAAAACGTTTTTAATATCTTATATTATCCTAATTAAATAAAAATAAATTATCTTTAAAAGTACTGGTGATAAATGCAATCTACTAGAAATAGAAAAAAAATATGGAAAATGAAATAGAAAGTACGTGTTTTCTTCGAAGAAAAACTGTCGATTTGCTTTAGTTTATTGTACCGTAACATTTTTAAGTATATATATATATAAAAATGCTATACATTTTTTTACAAATATAAAATGTAGAATGAATGTAATTTCGATAAAGCCACAACTAAGTAACTACAGAGTAATAAGTCTCTTTGGTCTTTGTTTTTTTGGTTTTCAGGCTACTTGGTAATAACAAAACGTTATTGTATATTATTTATTTTCATGTTCTTGTTTCATTTTTCATTTTACTAAAGAATATTTCTTTGTGCTAGTTTAAGATTAGACTATACATAATATGTAATATATTTTTATACCATATGATCAAACAGTTTTATGACCCCAAGCGGGTTAATTATATATACAAAGGACACTTGATCATTAAACGTTTTTATCAGTTTATATAAAAAACGTTATTTGAAGTGCCAGTTTATTTTTCTGTCAGGAATCAATTTCCTGTTCCATTCTTGCTGAAATTAATATAGATAATTTAGTTACTATAAAAACGAGTTTTAACATCACAAAAACACAAGTAAAATCTAAAAACTAAAACTATCTGTCATAATAATACTCCTTAACTTTTTTCACAACTAAAAAAATTAGTGTACAAGTTCATAAATTTTATAATCCTCCAATCATGAATATTTCTAATCATACCTACTGTTCTTACCGTTGATTATTTTGGAATATCATTACTACATGAAAAAGTTAATAGGTAATTTAAAAAATTATATATTATTTTTTTTGTCTTAAAAAACTATTACAAAAAGAAAAGAAATTCGCAATTATTTATTCTCGGGTTGATATTCCTAGAAGAATCAATTAAAGCCAGTCTAGCTAAAACACATATACCTATTAGTTTTTAATTATTATTTATACAATATTGCGTGATTGTTCTATGATAAAAGACGTAAAACCATACAGAAGAACAAAAGATACAGTCCCATCCAAACTATTGTTATTAGTGACTCTGTGATAACAAATGCAAGTTAAAATTGTTTACGTCAGAGCATATATTCCCACATATGTTGCACATCCACGGGTTAGTTCTGGAATGGCAACCCTTGTGAATTAAATATAGTGCTTCGTTAGGAAATATTATTCCGCAATACACGCACTGAAGCGATTGTTTACAGATAGTGCAGTCCTTAGGGAAGCACTTTTTTGTTTTGTCCTGTCCTGTTGAAGGTATAGTTCCTAATGAAGGGAAAATAGAATATTAATTGTAGTCCAATTGGGAAGTTTTATGAATAAAAATATGAGTTAATGTGAATAAAGGTGAATAAAATTTAAATGGGATTTGGCCAATAATGAATGTGAAAAATAGTCTAAATAAATACATATTACAAAGAAATTGAGATCGAAAAGTCTCTACATGAAACAAATTTGAAAAAATTATTACGTAGTCGACTATTGATCTAAAAAGAAAATATTAATAATAAAAAAAAATGTTTGTATGTTAGTGCATCACTAAAATACTAATGAACGGGGTTTGATGCGGTTTTCCCTGTTTAAAAGCTTAATTTATGAGGGTCAGTACTAGGGTTTGCGGAACCGCAGCTGTTTTTCGGAACCGGGAATTTCGGTACCGCGCCTCTTACGGCCGTACTCATAGTCGATCGCCAGCCTCCCGCTGGCGGGAGCTTTCCCGAAATTCTTCGTTCTTATTTCAGAGTCGAGCGCTCTCCGAGTAACGCGTGCGTACATCCGTCATATAGAGTAACCGCTCTCTCGCCGGCGGGCGGTTGGATAAGCATTTTTTTTCCGTTTCATAGTCGATCTCCAGGCGAAGAACACTTGCGCAGTTTAAACCCCATCCGGTGATTTTCGGGCGGCGACTGGAGCATGTCCTTACCATCTCCGGGCGGCCCGCCAGTTTAGTCTGGTTTATTTCTCTAGTTGAAAGAAGCACCAAGCAAACTGAATTAATTATGGATATTTATAATATTGTGACGATTAACGAGAACGATGACATTCGTATTTTTGAGGCCATTATTCATTACATTTGAGGCATATGAATTCCGTCTATTTGACCATTTAAATGTTTTATCGTTTTGTTTTTGTTATGTTTATGATTTTTTATTTTTCCTATTGTTTTTACGTTTATTACATTAATTCTCTTTGTAATTTACACAAACTGGAAAAATATGCCAAATTCACCAAACATCAGTCATCTACAGAAAACAAAAATAGAGCCAATTTAAAAATATAAATTACTTCTACTCTGGTCATATTTTCCCTTAAAATAATTTTAAAATCCTTAACACAGCACCAATAGGTTAAGGTTAAGGTCTATACAAATATATAAACGTAATAAAAACGAATCCATAAAACTTTCAAATAAAACCGAACAGACCTATGGAATTCCCCATTATGTAAATTATTAACTTAATATCCAAATATACCTAGCCAAAAAAATATGTATATAAAAAATTGTAAATCTTTTTACTATAAGTGAAGGATTACGAAGATTTTATTCATTACTTTAAAACGAATTATAACAAAATAATGGACATATCAATAAAATATTTAAATTACCCAATATCAATAAAATATTTAAATTATTAATATTTAAATATTTAGAGAATGTTAAAGTTCGTATAGCCGATTTTGTGTAGAAAAAGGAAGAAAACATGTTCCCTGATGTTAAAACCCTCCACCCGAAGTGAAATTTTGTCGGCGACGCGCCGTCATTTTCGTCAGCCAGCGGTGCGCTGGCGGCCGACTATGAAAGAGCTTTTTTTTCTCTCCCGATATCGAAGCGCTCGCCGGAGAAATCTTCGGCGAGCGCTTCTTTTCGGCGGGCGGCTGGCGCTCGACTATGAATACGGCCGTTAGGATCCGAGATCTCCCTTTTTTTTCAGTACTTTTGGTACTGACTAATTTTTGTTCAATGGCGGTGCAGTTCATTAATCAGGAAGCAAGGGATGGTTTTTCAAATTATAATGGATATAAAATTCGGATTCTGGGAGAAAAATAAAGGTGAGTTTTATAAGAGAAGTGTATGACTAAAATGTAAGGTTTTTGACATGTTTAACATTTTCTAGAAATAAAGAACAATTTTTAAATTACCTACAATAAAAGCTACCTAAATTGGAATTTACCCGGTATAACCTAATATGTAGTTAAATTAACTTTAATACTTTAAATCAAATTAAAACTTGATGCTAAAAGTTATACATGGTGACACAAAATTAATATTGAACATTGGTCATCTTCAAAAGTATGTTACTCTTTTATTTCAAATTGGAACACCCAGTATATTATTATTCCGATATCCAATGGAGAATTCATGTCTCTTCAAAATACTATCAGGTTGCCTACCCCTCAAACAAAGATTTTCCTAGATATTTCCATTTACATGATTTGATCTGAGTAGATCTATATTATTTGATAAAATCTAGGTGGCTGTGTGTGATCTATAATTTCTGTTTAATTACTCCATTTTTAACAACTAGTTATCATTTTGTGTCAGTTAAAACAAAAACATTTCTCAGAAATTTGGCGAAAATGCAAACTTATCCTACATCGGAAAGAATTGATATGATTCTATTAGTTGATGAATGCAGTGTGCATTCACCAATTAATAGAATACTTAAATGCTCCTGATTTTATCTAGCTTGTTTTTTTTTGTGAGGATATGTTAAAGACAGTGTTTAAAAAACTCGACCAACTATTGTCGACAACATGAGAGAAATTATTGTAGCTGGTTTTCGAGGTAAAACTCGATGCCCTTTAAAATGAAAAGATCCTTTTGGAAAGACAATTATTTTATGCAGTTAACAGGAAAGGAAGCATTTTGAGCATTTGATTTCATCTAGCTAATTTTTGTCACATAATTGTAGGTTTATATCTAGTTTTAATACTGTAATCATTAAATTATGTTTTAAACGTGTATCTTTTTATTACCCTTGAGTATTTTACTCTACAATCTTTAATTTCTGTTAAATTAACAAAAGGTATATCACAGCTACCTAGAATTTTTCAAATAATAAAGATCTACTGACGCAAAATCATAAAAATTAAAATATCTAGGAAAGTCTTTGTCTGAGGGATAGGCGACCTTAATAATATTTTGAAGATACATAAATTCCCTATTGAATACCGGAATAATATACTGGGTGTTCCATTTAAAATAAAGGACTAACTTGCTTTTCAAAGTGATTAATGGTCCATATTAATTTTGTCCCACCCTGTATAACTTTTCAGGTCAAATTTCAATTTGGTTTAATATACAATGGTTACTGTAACTAAATATCAGACTATACAAGGTCAACTAAAATTTAGTTAGCTGTTATCGAAATTTAAAATTTACTCTTCATTTTCACAAAATGTGAAATATGTCAAAATCCTTAGATTTTAGGTATATGCTCTTTAATAAAACTCACCTTTATTTTTTTCATAGAATCCGAAAATCAATTAATATATAGGGTGTTCCATTAGAAAAAAACACAACTTTGATGTGTAACTTTTTTTGGGGACACCCTGTATAATTCTATATATTTTTATAAAATGCTCTCAGTTAACCTACATATGCTGCCAAAATTTCATTTCGATATAAACTACCGTTCTCCTTGGAGCTTCCGCGGCGTATGAGAGGCGCGACCCTTTATATGTCGCACTCGTACTAACTTTTACTGTCAAAATTTTATTCGAATCGCTAAAAGCACTGGAGGAAAATTATAATAAATCGAAATAAAACTGAAGACTTCAACCCCATGTGGTTACGAAACTAAACTAAGCATAATCCGACCTCTGTTGATATGAAAAATATGGATATATTTTATATAGAGCGAAATTTTATACAGGGGTACATTTATACATTATTTATACAATAAGTATATTATATTATATACTTACTGTATATTTTTAGGATGTCGAGAGAGAAGTATTTTTAGTGATGTCAAGTACTCACCGTTTCTAGATGCGTTAGCGTCTGTAGAGGAACTATTAGAGTTTCTGGTACTGGAAGAAGCTACATATTGTGTTCCACTTTTACTGTCTGAAATCATCTGTTTCTTCATGTCGCCTCTCAGCAATGTTGTCAATGGTTATGCTTAATCAAACTGCAAAGGTTGCAATTCTTAATCACGTGACTAAAAGTTTATTTGGTATGAACTGTATATGAATTGTTGTCATACATGAACGTCACGCATATACCTACATCAAATTTTTCTTTTGTCCATGTTACTATAAGTTTATTAATTTTAGTAATATTTAAAATACACCAGCAATTTTCGATACCCCTGTATACGTTTAAGAAAGCAATACATGTTTTAATAAAGTTTATTTCTCTGGCTTCAGAGTCAGCACAAGAATTAATTTTGAAAAGCAATGTACGGGGTGTTGACAATTTGTTTTATTATAGCAGGCATATTTAAATATCTTTAAGTATCTCAAAAACTAAAGCATTTAAACATATATAACCCTTATAATAAATACCTTATTTTATGCCTCAGAATATAAAAATAAAATAAAATACCGGGTGTTCCATAAGAAAAAATATAACTTTGGTATGGATCTTAGTTCTGACACACGCTGTACCTACATTTGAAAATACTTTTAAATTATGCACATTGCCTTCCCACATATACCCATAAAATATTTTGTTTCTACATCTTCCCGTTTTCGTCTAATCAACCGAGGCGAATGAGGTGCGCCACCCTGTATAGTTGTAAGTAGATTATCAAACATTTACTAGTTTTGCAACAAATGTGAAGTTACTGTTAGCAAAAATATCCACAAATTAACTGAGGGTCCTATAGCACGGATTTATAGTGTCTCCGAAATCAATTGGAAAAGATTGAAACTAGTTTCGGCACTGCCTTTGTTGGAGCTATTTTCTGCATAATTTAAGTACTTCCAATAATTGACTTCGGAAATACTGTACAATTATATCAAAAAGAAAACAAATGGTTACTTACAGCGACAAAAGTCACCAAAACGAAAGTATTAACGCGCGAAACGGAACTAACAAATAATAATTTATTACTGGCTAAGATAGATCGATTGGAAAAAGAGCTGCAGAGCAAAAACGATTGGAATTTTTTTGCGGCATATGAAGCCAAGCGGCAGCTATAGTAGTGGGTTAAAAAAACGCGTAAATAATGCATCATTGATTTTATTAGTTGTCAAAATAGTCAAAATAAAAAGATATAAAGAAAATAACTAAAAAAACGTTGAAACAAAAGCAATCAAAACCCATTAGTTTAACTTTGAGACCATTGGATAATCATTTACCGTAGCGGCTAGACGCTTGACTTTTAATAAACATTATTTTTCATTTAGTAAAAAATAAAAAAAACCGGGATTTTTAATTTTTTCCTACTTTTCTAAATCTCAAAAAGTTTTTCAGGCTTCTACAGTACAGGGTGCGGCGCGGCGCCTCCCACGCCGCGGAAGTTCCAAGGAGAACGGTAGTTTATATCGAAATGAAATTTTGACAGCATATATAGGTTAACTGAAAGTATTTTTTTAAATATATAGAATTATACAGGGTGTCCCTAAAAAAAGTTACTCATCAAAGTTGTGTTTTTTCTAATGGAACACCCAATATATTAATTAATTTTCGGATTCTAGGAAAAAAATAAAGGTGAGTTTTATTAAAGAAGCATATACCTAAAATCTAAGGATTTTGACATATTTCACATTTTGTGAAAATGAAGAGTAAATTTTAAATCTCGATAACAGCTACCTAAATTTTAGTTGACCTTGTATAGTCTGATATTTAATTACAGTAACCATTGTATGTTAAACCAAATTGAAATTTGACACTAAAAGTTATCCAGGGTGAGACAAAATTAATATGGAACATTAGTCACTTTTAAAAGCAAGTTACCCCCAAGGCGTTAAACGCTATATACGGGAGCTATTATTATTATTATAAAAGCAAGTTACTCCTTTATTTTAAATGGAACACACAGTATATTTTTCCGGTGTTCAATGGGGAATATACATATATATCTTCAAAATATTATTAAGGTTGCCTACCCCTCAGACAAATATTTTCCTAGATATTTTAATTTTTATGATTTTGCGTCAGTAGATCTTTATTATTTGAAAAAATCTAGGAGGGGGGGTGGCTGTGTGATATACCTTTTGTTAATTTAACAAAAATTAAATATTGTATAGTAAAATGCTCAACGGTAATAAAAAGATACACGTTTAATACCTATTTTAATTATTACAGAATTAAAACTAGATATAAACCTATAATTAATTATATGACAAAAATTTGCTAGATGAAATCAAATACTCAGAATGCTTCCTTTCCTGTTAACTGCATAAAATGATTGTCTTTTCAAAAGGATCTTTTCATTTTAAAAGGCATATATGTAGTTCTACCTCGAAAAGCAGCTACAATAATTTCTCACATGTTGTCGACAATAGTTGGCCGAGTTTTGTAAACACTGTCTTTAACATATCCCCATAAAAAAACAGACTAGATAAAATCAGAAGCATTTAAGTATTCTATTAATTGGTGTCAATTTTGGTGTTCACCAACTAATAGAATAATATCAATTCGTTTTCACTGACACAAAGTAACTAGTTGTTAAAGTTGTACTAATTATACAGCTATAATTTGTTAAGTTGGCCAGTTAGTTATTAGTTATGTCCTTTGATACGTAAAAATTAATTCTTGATTTTTGATTTATCGACAACGAAATTACAAAGAGGTAAAGTGCCATGTGTTGTTTGAGAGAAAGATGGTACATTTATTATTTATTATTTTACAGTAAGTTGTAGCAATCATAAATCATACTTGCCGTTTCAACTGATATCACCGGTATATTATTTACAAAAAAATAATTGTTATTGCTGTTCCGGAAATTTTTAATTTGCAATAATATCCGAATAAAAAGTCCGGAAGTTGCAAATGTCAAGTTAGGTTCAAGGATATATGTCGCAATTTTCCAGACTGTGGAGTAGGACTAATTATTAGAACAGTTACGTAATGCTTATTATAATTAATTAATACAAATATATACAAGAATACAAATAGTATAGAACGAAGGAAATGTTCTGTTAAATATGTAGAAATTTATCACCTCTGTCAATTCGACAACTTGTAATATACAGGGTGGTCCGAACTGTATTCCGGAAACTTTAGCAGCATATTCTGCAGGTAAAAATAAGTAAAAAAGTTCGTATAAATGTATGCCTTAAAATGATTAGTTTCGGAGATACAGGGTGTAGAAGTTTCAATTTTTTTCGATTTTTTTCCAAATAATTTCTGAAATAACGTCAATATTTTTATGAAAACTGGTGTCTGGGAGTTTTTTGACATGAGAAATTTGATTTTGATATCAATATGACTCCTACTTGTAGAGGGCGCCACCTACATATATTTTAACTGGTTTCAAGAGTAATAACTTTTTGTCCGTACCTGTATAAAACTAGTGAGTTTGAAAAATATACATTCGCGATGTTTTTTACGTAAAAAAGGTCTCTTGGTAAAAATGGCTACGAGTAATGGTTCTCGAGTTATTTGGAATCGAAATTACCAATACCTGTCATCATTGACATAAATTAAACATGTTGACTAAATAATTATTAGACTGAAATCATAAATTTGAAATGCTTTTGTGCCAAAAATTCGAAAGAAACTGTTTTATCATTATTTTTAAAAGAAAAATTTATGATTAGCTTAAAAAAATAAAAAGTTCCCAAATTTCTCATTTCAGTCAAATATCTATCTGCTGAACATGTTTATTTTTAATAAATAATGACATGTATTGACTATTTCCATTCTAAATATCTTGAGAACGGTTGCTCCTAGCTATTTTTACCAAGGGACATTTTTTACGTAGAAAATCACGGAAATGTGTATTTTTTCACTCAGTAGTCTTATACAGGTATGGACAAAAAGCTATTACTCTTCAAAACATCAAAATCAAATTTCTCACGTCAAAAAACTCCCAGATACCAATTTTCATCCAAATATTGACGTTATTTCAGAAATTATTTGGAAAAAATAAAAATAAAAATGAAACTTCTACACCCTGTATCTCTGAAACTAAACATTTTAGGACATACATTTATATGAACTTTTTTACTTATTTTTATCAGTAAAATATGCTGCCTGAAGTTTCCGGAATACAGTTCGGACCACCCTGTATATTTACATATTTAAAACGCTTTGTGAACAAAATAATTTTAAAGCAATACTTCACAATGAAGCATGATACTTCAAAATAGTTAAATTTTGGTAATGAGTATATAGAATAGATTTCATAATATTTTTAAATATTTTTCCTTAAATCAGTAACAAGGTCCATAATAAACATTTGTTGATTAGCAGCCACTGTATAATAAAAAATGTAAATTAGCGTAAAATACCTATACATATACAATAATTTGTTCATGTTATTTGATTATTCTATATGTTTGAAAAATAAACAGCGTCAGTGGTGGCATGGAAATGAAGATCACTGTTATTTTATATGTAAAATTATATGGGGGTCTCCAGAAATGTAAGCCAACTTCACACCGATTTTTTTCTCAATCATTCTGTAGCATTTTTATCATCAGATATTCATGGTATTTCTGATGATAAAAATGCCACCGAATAATCGAAAAAAATCAATACAACACGATCAATCATTCTTTACAGAACAACACAACATGATCAAAAAGTTTTATAATCAATCATGCTTTGAATGACCACAAATAAACAGTTCTTATTAGAAATTAGATTAAAATTTCTTGTCTTTCAATGATACTACTTTTTGATCATATAGTAGATATACAATTATAACATATTCGTATTTGAAATTATATTTGCAATTTCTAAAATCGGTTCTCATAGAAATATAACGTTCCAAAACCGATTTACATTTTTTCTTTTGTGAAAATAACGGTAAAAATAAATTAGAAATATTTTAGGAGCGTATCTAAATTTAAATAGCAGCTATTAAACCTTAAAATGAATCCACTATAAAACAAAATATCTGACTCAACCAATCAAAGCGTTTTATACATTCCTAATGAAAAATCTTAACGTTAAATAGAGGAAAATTTCCATGATATATTTTCTTCTTCATTTCTTTAAGTTATGTTTGATGAGTAAATGTTTTAAAATGTAGCTACATGGTATTTTAAATAAAAATTTTAAATGTTAACACAGAAACAATGAATTTAAAATTGTATTTTAGATAAAGAATACTTTGTCAAGGTTATTAGATACACATAATAATTAAACATATTTTTTAACAAGAAATTTATTTAAAATAATAACGTTCTTATAATTAAAGAAATCTATGAAATGAATATATAAATGTAAAATAATGTTATTGCTGGGTACAGAATTACATTTTTTTGCAATAATTTTTATAATTAAATTGATGAATGGTAGTTAAGATAATAAAATTATTCCTCCATAGTTCAATAAAAATACATACAATATTGCAGAATTAAATCTATCCTTCAAATTCAGTGTAGTTTACCTCATTTTCTACTTTTATCTTGATGTTCTAGTTTTTTTGTTCCATTTTTATAATTTATGGAATATATTTTAGGTTATTTAATGGTAAAAATAAATGAACTAACGGAGTTATTGCTTTTTTGATTATCAATGTTTTGTCTTCTTCAATGTAGGTATAATGATTCAGGTTTTTATATTATGCATCAACACAATTAAATTCTTAATCAAAAAAGATTTATATAATTAAATAAAATTCAGTAAAGAGTTTCGAGAAGGTCCAAAACCCAAATGAGACAGAAAAATTTAGCGTAATTCTCAGAAAAGAGCTGAAGATGTCAACACATTAGCCTTGTTAAAAACTTTTATACAGTGAGAGAGGATTATAAGATTTTTAAGATAGAAAAAAGTTGCTTCTAAAACCAAGCCACTTTTTCTTTCGAGTCTCTAAAGACAGGCTAAAAATATTTCTTGTAGAAATAAAAAAGAACTATTTTTGACCTTTACCGTCAGAAGAACTAACAAATAACTTTTAACTTCCTCATTAAAAACTGGCAGACATAATTCTTATTCAAAAAAATAATGAA